GTCTTTGTTTGTATGTGGTGCTGAGGATCGAACCTGGGCCGCACGCATGCCAGGCGAGCGCGCTACCACTTGAGCCATATCCCCAGCCCCCTTTATATATTCTTGATATAAGTCCTTTTACATGTAAATGATTCACTAGTAATTTCTTGCAATCTGTAGGGTTTTTCCCACGCCTCCTTCTAAATATAAGCATTTAAAGCTATATATTCCTCTAAGCATTATTTTTGCTACAATTTATAAGTTTTATTTAATTTCCATATCTGCATGAATTTTCTGAATTTTTTTCTATTCCGTGAGTGAAGAGAATATGTGTTTCCCTATTGTTGGGTGGAGTATTTTATAGAGATGACTATTATGTCCAGTTGGCCTATGATGTTGGTTAGATCTTCCCTTGCATCGTTGGTCTGCTTGGTTTGTTCTGTCCATTCCTGAAAGTGAAGTATTGAAATTTTCAGCTTATTGTTTATATGCATTTCTCCTCACTTCTATCTTTATGCTGTTAGTTGCATTTACATTACAGTTGTTTTCTTCCTCATCAGTTAACCAGTGTCCTCTTTATCGCTCATAACTTTTTAAAATTTATTTTTTATTTTTTTTATTTTTTAGTTGTAGATGGACACAATATCTTTATTTTATTTTTATGTGGTGCTGAGGATCGAACCCAGGACCTCGCACATGCTAGGTGAGCACTCTAGCACTGAGCCACAACCCCAGCCCAGCTCATAACTTTTTGTTTTTGTTATTGAACATTGAACCCAGGGTATTCAACCATACCACTGAGCCACATTCCCAACCCTTTTTTTTTTTTTTTTTTTTTTTTTTTAGTTTGGACACAGGGTCTTGCTGAGTTGCTTAGTACTTCACTATTACTGAGGCTGGCTTTGAACTCATGATCCTCCTGCCTCAGCTTCCCAAGCTGTTGGCATTACAGGCATGCATCACCACACCCAGCAGTGAATGTTCTTAATGGCATCCAGAATAGTGAATCCTTTCCAGATTTTTAGTTCACTCTGCCCAGATCCACCAGAGCAATCACTATTCTAAGGCAATAATACCCTAATAAAATGTATTCTTTCTTTCCTTTTTTTGGGGGGGGGGGTTCCTGGGGATTGAACTCAGGGGTACTTGACCACTGAGCCACATCCTCAGCCGTATTTTGTATTTTATTTAGAGACAGCACCTCACTGAGCTGCTTAACAAATAAGATTTTAAGTAAAAATTACTTCTTGATCCATGAGCTGCAGAATAAATATTACATTAGGAGGCATGAATTAATCTTATTATACCTCTTCAGCAGAGCTCTTGGGTAATCAAGCACTTTGTTAATGAGCAGTAATATTCTGAAGGGAATCTAGGGAATCTTTTTTTACCTGAGCAGTAGATTATAATGGTGAGCCTAAAACATGCCATAAACTATGTTGGAATCAGGTGGGCTGCCCTCCAGGCTCTGCTGTCCCATGCACTCAAGGAGCACGGGTAGAGTAGATTAAGGATTCTTCTTGAGGTCACAGGATTTTCAGAATGGTAGATGAACATTGGTATTACCTTCACCAGCTGCATTAACCCATAACAGGAGAGTCCGCCTGTCCTTTGAAGCTCTGAAGCCAGGCATTGACGTCCCTCTGGTTATGGAAGTTGTGGGTATCATATTCCAATCATATGCTATTTCAGCTACATTGTAAATCTCCTCAGAGCCACCTTTACCAAAGATTGTGACTTCATCTTCTGGATAACTTGCCCCAGCTTCTCCATCAGCACCTGCTGCTTTACCTTGTTATGTTGCAGAGATGGCTTCTCTGCCTAAATCTCACAGTCAACCTCTGCTAGCTACATGCTGCTTTTCTTTTTCTCATGTTTCTCAGTCCTTATAGGATTGAAGAGAATTAGGGCCTTGCTCTGGGTTAAACTGTGGCTTCAAAGAACGCTTTGGCTTTTTAAATCTCTGTTCAGACCACTTGAAGCTGGCTCCATATCAGCAGTAAGGCAGTTTTGCTTTCTTTGTCTTTGTGTGTTCACTGGAGTAGTACTTTTAATTTCCTTCAAGGACTTTTCATTCACAGCTTGGATAGCTGTTTGGTGCAAGAAACCTATATTTTAATTATTTTGAACTTTTTTTTTTTCTTTTTCTTTTTTTTTTGGTACCAGGGATTGAACTCAGGGGTACTTGACCACTGAACCACATCCCCAGCCCTAATTTCTATTTTATTTAGAGACAGGGTCTCGCTGAGTTGTTTATTAGCACCTCACAGTTGTTGAGGCTGACTTTGAACTTGAGGTCCTCCTTTCTCAGCTTCCTGAGCAGCTGGGATTACAGGCATGCACCACCACACCTGGCCTGTGTGTGTGTGTGTGTGTGTG